ACCCCCCCGCCCCCACCCCCATTCCACGGGCTTCTAGACTCCGACCTGGTAGCATCTCTGCCTCGTTCTTCTTTCCGTTCTTTTTCATTCTGGGAAATAGTCTCATGGGGTGGGCTGTTCCAGACTCGGGTTCCAGGACAAACCCCCACCTCCGAGGCCCCGCCCCCCCATTCTGGAGTCGATGGGAGGCTGTGCCCCCGCGCTCCTGTGCCCTCTTCCGCGCCCCGGGGATGCCTGGGGCGTGCGGGGAGCCTTTCCCCGGCTGTTCTCAATCAGCTTTCGTTCTAGACTCCCCCCTCCTAACCCATCCCAGTCCCCCCTCCCCCCGCCTGCCAGGTGCATGGCTCCAGTCCTGCTCGGAACCCCGCCCCCACCCTACGCCTGCCACTCTCGGGGACTCCCCCAGCTCCTCTCCTCTCTGCCGCTCCCATCTGGCCACAGCTGCTGGAGAATAAATTTGGGATGCTGACGCCGAGGTGTCCGGATGTTGTCTTCTAAGCTGGGAGAAGGAAAGGGGTGCGGAGGTGGGACAATGACTGCACTTAGAAGCAAACTGAGAGAATGGGGAGGGGGGGCGGCAGACAGAGGGAAAGGGCCCTACTAGTAGCTGGTGTGGCTCCGTGGGTAGAGAGTCGGTCTGCGGACTGAAGGGTCCTGGGTTCGATTCCGCTCAAGGGCACATGCCGGGGGTTGCGGGCTCGATCCCCAGTGCGGGGCGTGCAGGAGGCAGAGCCGATTCCATGATTCTCTCTCATCATTGATGCGTCTATTTCTCCCTCCCTCTCCCTTCCTCTCTGAAATCAAAGTGCTGAGAGCCTGGGAAGGAGAGAAGCTTCTCACAGCATCAGAGACAGGACTGAAGGGCACCCGTGCCAGGGAGGGGGCGATGCACAGGGCATCAGGGAGGGACAAGCTTACCCGGGAGCACCGTCTCCCTTCCTCTCCCTTCCTCTCCCTTCCTCTCTGAATTCAAAATGCTGAGAGACAGGACTGAAGGGCACACGTGCCCAGCGAGGGGGCGATGCACAGGGCATCAGGGAGGGACAAGCGTACCCGGGAGCACCACACACTTACCCGGGAGCACCGCACGCGCTCCCAGACACACGCTGACACCCAGACACTGGGGAGCCCTGAGCGGGGAGATGAAAGGCAAGCCTCCCACGGGGACACCCGGGGGTCGGATCAGAGGGACGGACCCCAGGACACAGAAACCTAAGCGACCAGAACCCGTGAGCTGCAGGATCAGCGACAGAGGCGGCAGGCCGACGCGCCGTCCGGGCCTCCTTCCCTTGACCCACTTGCGAGTGGGGGGAGTGGAGAGGACAGTGCAAAAGGGACTACGCATCCCAGCAGACACCGCGGCGGACCCTTCCCCCCCAAGCGCAGCCCCTCGCCGCCAGGGCTGCTGGGAGTTGTAGTCCCGGGACGGGGCCGGCCGGTGGAATGGTGTGCCTATATCTGTGTTTGGAAGGACTGAGCCCCAAAGCTTCGTGGGCTCCCTCGGGGCACCCCGGCGTCTCTTCATCCCTTTTGGGTTTCCGGGACTCAGTCTAGTTGGATGCTGGGGCTTCCCTTGTCTCCCCCAGCACCGCCGCGGTACCCCCACCCCC